ACAGTAGTGGAGGAAGTAATCGGATACTTTACTTAAGTAAAAGTATTGATACCACAGAGTAAAACAATTCCACAACAAGTTAAAGTATCATTAGTTAAAACTACATGTTTACCATAAAACAATATTTAGCACTGAGATACAGTTTGTATGGAGGACTGAAACCGCCAAAAACAAACTCTCCCAAAAATGACTCAATAAATAAACAATATTAAAATAAATACAGACATTCATTAATTTATAATTATGTGAATAAATACATTTATATTTCAGATTAAATTTTTATTCTGTTTATTTACCTCGTAAGTAAACAGACACAAATGATACAGAAATATTAATTTATACATTAATTAATGGAATATTTATTTATTTATCTGGTCATTTATTTATATTTATTTATTTTTTTATATTTAAATAATAATTTTTTTAAAGTACTCTCAAGGTGTACTAGAGTAATAGAGTAACAGAGTAATAGAGTACTACAGTAACAGAGTAATAGAGTAACAGAGTAATAGAGTACTCGAATACCGACCCTGCAGCTCGAGGAAACCCTCCTCCTGTCTCTGGGAAACCTCTCTGGTCTCTTCCAGCTCCAGCAGCAGCTGTAACACCTGAGCTCTCAGCTCCTCCAGCTCCTCCTCTTCATCCTTCCCTCCTCCTTGTTCCTCTTCCTCTTCCTCTTCCTCTTCCTCCTCTTCCTTCTCCTTCTCCTCCTTCAACTCTTTCTCTTCCTCCTGCTGGCCTTTCTCTCCGTCTCCCACCGGCTCTTCCTTCTCCTCCAGGGACTCTCTCTCTTTAGCCGTCAGAGTTTCAGCCAACATGATCGGCTTTTCGGCCTTCAGCTCGCACAGCTCATCTTCACAGAGGAAGAGGAGGAGGAAGAGGAGGGTTAACCACCAGAGAGAGCACACACCAACACAGCATTATTAAAGTCAAATATTATTAGTGTCAAATATTAATATAAGTTATAACAGTTATTAAGAGGAGGACGAATGTCTCCACCTGCTGGAGAAACAGGATGTTTGTTTGTTTACAGAAAGAAAATCTGTATTAATATAATGATTAATATAATGATTATTATAATGATTATTATAATGTCAGATATTTTGTATTAATATTATTTTATTACAGGTTTTTTCTTTACTGCTGAGAATAATTCAGACTTTAATGAAGAAAATATCAGAAATGTCAAATAATTCACAGTTAAAGGTAATTTTACATTATTATGATTAATTATTATTATTATTATTATTATTATTATGCTTCATCACTCCAACGTGATCCTGAGTAAAAACTGACTCAATGAAATCTCCCATCATCCCTCCTGCTGCTGCCGTCACTGCATCTAAAAATAGATCCTCTTCATCATCATCATCATCAGTCCTCTTTATCTGTTTACAGTTTTTACTCCTTTATACTTTTGCTGCGTCACATCATCTGATTAATACCAAATATAATCAACAGATACATATATTATTATTATTATTATTATCTGTAACTCTAATTATATACTTATATAATTTATTTATATAATATTATATTATAAATATATTATATAAATAAATTATATTATATAAATAAAATATATTAATAATATATAAATATAATAAATGATTAATATATTGGTGCAGCTCTGCTCCTTTCAGTCCATTGATTGGTTGGGTCTCCTGGCAGGCAGCCAATCACACAGCTCATCATCGTCATCATCATCATCATCTTCCTCTTCCTGTCAGCTGTTTCTCTCTTTACACCTTTAAATCATTTTTGCCAGGGTTAGTTAACATTAGCTTAGCTTAGCTGCACCAGCTAACGTGATCCATGATGCTAACTTGATTTTAGCCAACAATAAATGATGCTAACAGTACAAAGCTAACGATAACTTTCTATTAGCCAAGAGTGATGTGAGGTAGAGGCATCCAGCTAGCTAACTGTAGCTAAGCTAACTGGTGTTATCGGCTGTATCTTGGCTGAACGGTGTGGGTCTGGCAACAGGACGCTGACTGCAGTTCACTGAACGACCACTGTTGGCGCTGTTAGCTACAGTTCACT